AAGCATATCTGTGTTGCTCTACTTTTCTTTGTGTTTTATTTCTGAGGCGCGTCCTCTTTGACCTTGAGCGGCGCGTGCTTGATGACGGATTTTTATGGTCATCTTCAAATCAAATCCAATCAAATCAGTTTATTTTCTGCCACAAAATGCATTCGTGACAAGGGCGCTGGAAAAAAAGCTGCACGTTAGCAGCTTGACGAGTCCCAGCGCCCCAATACAAAGCAGCAGCTGAACTGACATGAATACAAAAAAAAAGAACACAGTATATAACAATCGCAACAAAACAACAACAACAACAACAAAACATCTACCTAAGTACACATATTTAGAGCTATCTGAAACGTAAATAGTGATTTTTTATTACAAAATGTCTTGTATTGTACGACTGTTTACAGAGTATATATCAATTCCATGGGAAAAAGGAAGTTTAACAATAGTGGTGATTGGTAGCGGTATCTCTGAGTGCCGAAATTTGTTCTAAATACAGGAAGACGCCAGGGGGCCTATGACGCCATGCGTAAATGGACTGGTGTTTTTTCTAGTTTTGCAAGGTCTAACATTATGTTAATATTTTTTCTTACACATTGCTGGTAATTTAAAATCAATCTAGAGGAATACATATTACATATATTAATGATTTTATGTTTTTCAAAAAGAGGAAGAGAGTGATAATCACGAGGTACATTTTCAATTATTCTAACAGCCTTTTTCTGTAAAAGATGCGATTTGTCTAAATTGCTCTTAGTGGTTGTTTCGCACACTAAATGGGAATAGCAGAATATAGAATGAAAAAGGGAATTGTAAATTAACCTTTTGATGTTTACGGGAAGTATATGACTGTATTTATTCATAATTCCAACAACTTTAGAAAGTTTTTTTATGAATGTATGCTACGTGATTATTCCATGACATATGACTGGAAAATATAACACCGAGAGTCTTAACGGTATCAACACATTCTATTGTGCATGACCCAAAATACAAATCACGTGATATTTGAATAATGGTTCCCGGGCATTGAAACAGGACAACCTTAGTTTTAGTGGTATTAAGAATGAGAGAGTTAATAGTTATCCAATTTTTTAATTTACCTAGAAAAACATTTGCTATGGAGGTAAGTAGGTCTTCTTTGAAACTAGAAAAAAAAAACATGCCAGTGTCGTCGGCGTACATTATAAATTTAGCGGTATTTTCGATGCTTACTATATCATTCACGTATACGAGAAACAATAGAGGCCCTAGAATACTACCCTGAGGAACCCCGGAGTAAATTCGTTCAGTAGTAGATACATAATTTCTAATTCGAACATATTGGGATCGATATTGTAAATAAGACGTTATGAGCGATAATGGGATACCTCGGATGCCATAATGTTCAAGTTTATTTAGAAGAATTTGGTGATTTATTCTATCGAAAGCTTTGCTTAAGTCTATAAATATACCCAACGTTAGAAGTTCGTTTTCAAAATTTTTTAATATTATTTCCTTCTGCACCAATAACGCGTTTCCGTAGATCTATGTTTCCGGAAGCCGAACTGAGAATCAGTCAGTAGTGAATATTTTTCAAAAAAAAATGTAGTAGTCGAGAGTGCACAATTTTTTCAATCGGTTTCGAAACGACAGGAAGGATAAATATAGGTCGATAATTACTTATGTCATTGCGATCACCACCTTTATACACTACGGTACTTTCGCAATTTGCATCCTTTTAGGAAATATACCGGAAGACAATGTAAGATTGTACAGATAAGTTATACATGGTAACAGCAAGTCAACTACAAATTTCACCGGCCCAATTTGAAGATCCTCACAGTCATCGCTACGACTGTTTTTTATATTCATGAAGGTAGATAGTACTTCTTTAGTATCACATAGGTTTAAAAACATAGTTTTGTTTATTCTGGGGACATTATTTGCTTCAGAACTGTTATAACTACTTTTCCCTACGCTCACAAAATAATCATTAAACATATTCGCCAGTTCTACGCCAGAAATAGTTCTATCGCCTATACTTATACTAGTGACTGCTCTATCTTGAGTTGGATTCCGTATTAAGGAGTGCAAATGTTTCCATACGACTTCGGGCTGCTTTAAGCAAGATATATCAAACAGATCTGCATAATAGCGGTGTTTAGCTCGTTCCAATTCTGTATTGACAAAGCTTCTAAATTTTTTAAATTCTAGCAATATTTTTTTCATTTCGTGTCCTAAGAAAGTTGCCATAAAGAAAATTCTTTTTTTTTAATAAGTCTTAAGAGTCGTTTAATGACCCATGGTCTTTTGCACTTCTTATTACAATGAATTTCCTTGTACGGAAGCGAAGAATAGTATGCGCCTTTTATCAGGTCTAAAAAGAGGTTATAGCACTTATCAACATCGGTTTCCCTCAACACGGGACTCCAATCGATAGCACCGATTTTTTCTCTAAACTTTTCCAGTGTTGTAGCGATAATATTTCGGGACATTACTGGAGGTTTAATAGCCCTATTACATGGTGCATTGTTATTAATGAATATAACTATAGGGAGGAGATCGCTTAACCCATAGCCCAGCATACCAGCACTAACGTTGTCTTCACAGTCGTTGGTTATAAACAGATCGATCAATGTTGACGTTGGGCACGAAACGCGAGTTGGAGGAATTATGACATTACTGAAATTATTTGACGCCAACAAATTTGCAAAGTCATCGGTAATGCGGGAAGCTTCGAGCATATTTATATTAAAATCACCACCCAGATACAATTTACAGCCTTCTTCGTTCGCAAAACAAAATAACTCTTCCAAAAAATTTATAAAGACCGAAATATTTTTTTTGGCGGGCGATATAAGACAGAATAAATACAACAGTTCTTTCTAATGCAGAGTATTTCATAGTTTGGCGTAACAACAGAGTAATCACTGAGGAGCACAAAGCCGGAAACATTAGTCTACAATGACACACCGCCTCCACGACCATAGTCGCGATTTAAGATAAAATTATAATAACCAGAAATAGCAAAAGCATCATCATCGTCCTTATACCATGTTTCTGTTAACATTATAACGTTAAAAGGAGTTTCGATTGAATCAAAAACGATGCAAGATCATCTCCTTTCGATCGTGCAGACTGTACATTTAAATGAAAAAAGCTAGTTTTTGTATTAGTCTGGATTTTTAAGAAATCACTTAGATCTTCTAGTGTCATAGTACCAAGATTTACAGCCATACCGAAAAAAAAAAAAGCGTACCCAACCAAATACTTTCTTTCCTTTTGAGATTTGAACGATAGGGGCTCCATACGCCTTCCTAGCTAAAATCTTGCAATTTTGCACCCAGACGTAACGCCACTGAAATTGACCCTTCTTCGACACTGCCATTCCGAGCAACCTTTTCATAGAGGGGCACAGATGCTCGTTCACACAAACGGGTGTTTCTTCATTCAGGCCAAGGTCCTGGCACGTTATCCGTTTTTGCTTTGCTTTGTTAAGGACGGTATCTCTTTTTTGCCGGAGTTGAAATTGAGCTATCACGTTTGCTTTGCTCATCTCTTTAGTCGGAACACGATGACATACTTCAATATCGGAAATAGCAATCGGTTCTCCGATTATGTCTCCGATCTTAGTTACCAGTTCAGTGGCGTCTTCTGTGTCAATTTTAGGGATCCCTTTTATCTCAATGTTATGACGCCGCGAGTATTGCTCGCACTGGACGAGCCTTAGTTCATTTTCTTTTAGCGACATTGCGATCGCATCACATTTTGTAACCAGTTCTACATTTGCCTTCTTAAGAGCGGTGTTCTCGCTCACAACAGCATCAAGTTTCACCTTTATGTCTTCCACGTCCTTATTTATGAAATTCGTCCCCTCGTTAATTTCTTTTAACTCTTTGTTTATCTCACGTAGTTCATTTCGGAAGTCCCTCTCTAATGACTTGAACTCTTTCTTTAGGGGAAACACCGACGCCTTTTCGCGTAATGGGACATATAAGGCTTTCGCCTTAATACCTAAGTAACTGACAGCCGACATGTTGTATATCCACTAAATGGAATGGCCTCTGCTGAGGCTGTGCTTGGTCGCGTAGTGATATATCCCACTCGCGGACGTTTTTCGCGCCAACTCGTTCATACGTGGAGAGACGCGTTTTTGTTGACTGTCTCGCCGTATTGCTGGAAAAGTATATCTTCAGATATATATTGATTAACATTGGTATTCGGTAATTATGGCGTGGCAGCTACATAAGACTACGACGAACACTTACAGTTACCGATAGAGATTTGGAAAGGGAGAAAGAACAGTGATGGTTTCCTGGGGCTTGGCAATAGCTGGGTAACCTTAGCGTGAAGAACGGTGAGGAGGGTGTTTAAATATCCTTGAACTTAGAATCAGCGTAAAGGAACGCCACTGTTTAAGAAGTCGCAAACTTCACTGGAAGGCATCCATGATTATTTTCATGTCAGGACTGCTAAATTCAAGGGAACATATTTTCCGTAATGGTCTGAAAAGTGTGCGTATCTGTCTTTTTTGCATACTGACCGACGCTCAAGTAGTATTTGTACGACTGATAAAGGATCTTAGAAGTTCCTTTTCTTCATCGCGTAAAATGGAGCCGTGCTTGTCATTTTTATATCCCATATTCAAACGACATAAGGTAACCCAAGGGAAAAGTTCCCTGTGTTTCGCCTTATGTCATTCGCTCAATCTAAGCATTACAGTATTGTAGTTCATTGTACGGAACTTTCGTGATGGTACTCCAATACTCCAAAAAGGCCACCATATAAAATACATTCCTGCTGCAGTCAAGCGTAAAGTATATCACCTACAGGCTTCGAAGGCCACGGGATGCCGTCTGCTAGAAATGTTTGCTTGCTTTATGAAGACCATGCGGATACTGTTTATTGACTAGTGTTTAGTGTAGATTTAAAGAACATCCGACCAAGCGATAACATTTATTGGGGAGTAACGTAGTACTCTCACATCAACATCTCACGTTGCCACTGCCATGTGTTTCTCCCTGTCTTAGACTCCTGCAGACCAGTGACGCCAAGAGGCTTCCAACATGGAAAAGAAGGCGTCGAAGCCTCACGTATTTATGCTGTCCTTCTTCAGCCGCGGTGCTTCGTTCAAGGAAAGCGACGCTGCTTCGTACACTACAACTCAGGGAGTCCCCATCTGCCGGAGGGTATGCACCGACCGAACTGGTCATTCGATCGAATTTCAGCAACGGAGCGAAATTTTCGAGGTCGATACTCTCCCGCGGAACTATATACACCAACTCATCTCTGTGACGTCACGGCGCGGTGGTGGCGCGTCGGTCGCACTTCCGGTCTGGGGCTGTGGGCAGAAGTCCCCATGCCAGACGTGTATTCCTGCGTTGTTTTGAAAGGAACCAGACAAAAACCTGCTTTCTCGTCAAAACGCCGCGACTGGGGCCGTACCAAAAGTGTCGAGAAAGGTTTGAAGGTCACTTTTCAGGTGCTCGGTTCGTCCGAGAATCTGGATATGTGCCGTAAAAAGGGAAAAGCAGACGCCTTCGGACAACGATTGCTTGGGCGGGAAGAACTAAGTTCAAACGGCCGCCTGATCGTTCGAGCTGTCGTCTGCTCTCTCAAACGTTTCTGCTTGTCTGCTCTCTTAGACGACGCCGGCCCGTATATGTTGGCCCTGTACTTGCAATAAGAAGTAAGTGCAGGCCTCAAAAGACTTACGTTTGAAGGTTGGTAAGCAGGCTCGATGTAAACAGTAAATACAAGATGTTGATCATTGTTACCAGTGAATATCACTACCTATGCCTAATTGACTTGGTCCGATTCTGCTTGCGATTTTCAGTATCGAAGTCGACCATTTCAGCTACGGTTCACACTTTTGCAGCCCGAGCGGCGTCGCGACTGAAAATTGCGAGCGAAATCTCATCATGCGAATCAGGTTTTAGCGTACATACTGCGGCGTCCACGCGGAATGAATCGCCACATGTCACATTATTCGCGCGAAGTTTTGCGGTGTAACGAGCCTCGGTAATTTCGCTGACGCCGCTCAAGTAGTCAGACATCGCCAGGAAGACGTAAAATCAACAATTCGAACGCGAAAAAGAGTAGGGGGACTCACACCGACGCCGATAACATCGCATTTCAATGGTTTGTCTATGGGCGACGGCGAGCTTCTTGCCCACACCCCCCTCGCGCATGCGCGGCGCCGGTGGCGTCCGCTAGGGGCGCTCCGGTTTGTTTGTAAACATGAGTTGGTGTATAGGTTAGGTCTGCCCAAGTGCACATATGCGTACATAGTTTACTGGCGATTGCAGTGGTAATTTCATTTTGCTACCATGACTATTCTATAAATGGCACTATTGCATAACGCTAGTATTGTTGTCTGTCACGTTAAGAAAAGGGCGTGTCGAGTCTTCTGCATCTTATTAACGCTCCACAGCCAGCGAGGTTGCGGTAGTCGCTGTTATGAACGCCGACGGACCAATCACGAAGCCTGAACAAAATATATCACGCCCTGCGTTTCTTACCCTCTCAGTAACTATAGAGTTATGCGTATGCCTATTTTGTGAGCACACCGAATTAACAGTATATTTTCTATTGGTAAAAACCAGCCCAGAGTAAAATAAAACAAAAAAAAAAAAACGGCTGCAAGTGAGCTGGGGGCAAATATTTCAGTTACTCGTCTACGGCCTCCTTGTGGAAACAAGGCACGCGTGCGCTTACTTTCCGGGAAGCGTCGGAGCCAGACCAGCGAAATTATGGCCAGATAATATTGGGGTCCAGGAAAACGAGCCACCCCTGTATCACGAGCGCATATAAACGTCATTCTCAGAAACCCAGCACATCTTGTTGCTTCGAGTCGAAATGTTAGCTGCGCCTCCGTATTCCTTGGTCCCCTTCCACCAGTTTATATCCATTATTGACAAGTTTTGTCTAACATTTCATTGACAGTTATGGTAACATCCCGTTGATACGTGTCTTGTGAAAAAACTTGCACGCTGGAGAAGTATGTTTACTGACAAGCGGCTACTCATAAATCTATCAACACATTAGTAACGCGTTTCTTTTACTTCCGGAAGACGCGTTTTTTCACAAAGCGGATACATTCCCTTCATTTAAACACTACATTTTAGCGTTCGAGAGACAGGCATATTTTCCTATGTCAATATTAACTTCACACATTTTGAATTATGTTTTACCTTATCAGCCAAGACTCGTCGGGACAACGAAACAGCATAGACAAGATGATTTGTTAATGAAACAAACGAAACAAACAGCTTCCACGAACAAAATGAATAAATGATCTGATCAGAGTGAAAAACTAACAATAAATAAGACTGCAATAACCGTAGCATCAGTACCTGCATGGTTGTATTACTTTAACCTTCATGTATTCCACTCAGTACAAACATCGTCTCCAGGTGGACGACAATGACGAGTCTTCGTGCACCACTAGCGGCTTGGGAAGCCAGCAGGACCTGGCAGGGCCTCAGGAAAGGGGCAAGTGGACGGGAAAGGCGGACTTCGTCTTCGGTTGCATCAGCTACGCCGTGGGCCTCGGAAACGTCTGGAGATTTCCCTACCTCTGCTACGAGAATGGAGGAGGTACGAACCGCACTGGTTAATTTCAACGCGGTTTTCGGTTCCTACAACGCAAACGCCAAAAAAAAAGCGCTTGAGAAAACAGTAGGATTTCCCTGAGTGAAGACAACACGTGATCATGGAGACGAGAAAAATTAAGTACTGAACCAGAGGTATCTTTCTGCTAAAAGTCCAGGAAGTACACACCTGACTAAAAATAAAAATAAAATTATGTGAGCGTGCTCTTTTTTTTTTGAGTATTTTGCAAAAAATATAAAGCCACATTTTGTTGAATATGTGTTTTGGTGTTAGAGACCCCTTACTAAATTTTGCATGCATCCCACAACAGTTGTATCTAGAAATCAGCTGAACGAATGTTTAACCGCCAATGTCCGTGCTTGTCAAAAAAAAAAAAATAACCTTGGAGGATAAAATTTGGCGTATAACCAAGCACGTAAAACAGCAAATTGTTACCGAACTGTAATCATGACAACATGACAGTCGGCACGATCGATATGTATATAGTTAAACTGAAAATATTGCTACACAAAAATCAGTAAAGGACGTCCTCCAGTTCAAAAGATGGGGAACCGTTACCTTTGCCTTATACACAAAGGCAAGCAAGGTAAATCAAGGACCGTCTGTAGAGTCCTCCGAATGTCGCTTCTGTGCCCAATGTAGATATCCATGTTTCCCACTTGTACGAAACAAAATAATGTTTCGTACAAATTGGTGTATTTTCCTTTAGTGTTGATGCAAAGGGGGAAATATTTTCAGCAATGCTGACTAAAGTTCTGAATGTCAAATTTATGCAGGTTCACTCTCTTTCTCTCCCTCTCTGCTTTGTGCTTTTCTGCCAAAATATGGCACTGGTGCACCTAATAGGGGCATTGTAATTAAATGTCCTCGCTAGCTCATGTGTCCCATCTCGTAACCTGAGATGGATTTTTATTTCTCCAGGTGCGTTTCTCATCCCATACTTCATCTGCCTGGTCACAACGGCCATCCCCATGTTCTACCTGGAGGTGGCGATGGGCCAGTACCTCAGCCGAGGAGGCATCGGTATCTGGAATATGGTACCGATGTTCAAGGGTAGGGGCCCTTCTTTCGTTGCTTGCTGTTCACTTGGTGACTGACGTTCTATATTTTCTGTGCTGTCGGCCTCTTACTTTTGATTTTGAAGTCTTTGATGTCGTTTACTATGTATGATCAAGATTCAGACATGCCGTAGAATTCTAAGTCACACGAAAAGCGTGCTTTCGGGACTACCTGGAGGTGTGTTACCATAACACACAGAACAGAATACTGTTGTTTGTTTTCAATTTACAATTATATTCTTGGTATTGCTGTGTGATAAAAGATAAATTTCACGTCTACATATATCTTGTGATCGCAAAGTTCCTTGTTTTATATTAGGCTAGTTTGAGGTAAGTGCCAAGGTGCGCTTTCATTACTTATTGAAAGAGAGTGACAATTATTATGACTTACCTTAATGCTCCGTTTTCATTCAAAAGAATGTTTCTAAGAGAGTGCCTAGATGAACATTGCTGTTTTTTTACAACTGAAGTAATATGTATCTGTTCTTTTTCCCAGGCATTGGCATAGCATCATTGACAATAGTCACTCTCTCCAATATCTACTACATGGTGATTGTGGCGTGGATCCTGTTTTACCTCATCTCTTCGTTCACCGAAGTGCTCCCTTGGAAGCACTGCGGAAACCATTGGAACACCGAAAACTGTTGGGAGTACAACAGCACTGAGCTTCCTCCCCACAATCGCTCGGTCACTCCCATCGTTGAGTTCTGGGAGTGAGTCCCCATTTTTTTAACGTAGCTCTTCTTGTTTAAGCACCCCTCACCGCGTTGTATTCGCACCACAGAAGGACAATGGCCTTTCCTTGATATAAAGCCTTCTCACTCCCAAGTGTTCATCACAGATATACACTTCTCAGAAATGCCTACTTTTTATCTCTAAATAAAAGTCCCAAAATACTTTATGTTCGTTCAAACTACTGTGGCCTATATTCTAAGGTGATCCCTAAATAATCTGCAACCAAAAGGTAAAAAAAAAAATTAAAATTGAAACTTACATTTGCACAACCAAAACAAACAAAACAAAAAAGATGCTCTTGCAGTCTAGCTGTCTTCCCAAAAGCCGTTTTCTTTTATTTTTCCGTAGAAACGGAAACTCCTTGCGACAGACGAGAAAATAGAGGGAGCCGCGAGAGATAGCATCGCAGTGAACGAACAATTGAAGCGAAAACGAAAGAAACCGACCTTGTTGGTGCGCCCAACTATGACGGATGGGCAAACAGAGGAGCGCGTTTTGTTGGTTGAGTGCTTGCGTAACGTAACGCACCTTTTTTCTTCTAGCCTCTCCTTCACCCAGATCATACATTTTTGGTTATGTTATGTTTAACGTTGGCGGTTTTTGGTGTTTTTCGCGCATTCTGAAGTGTTTTCCTTCCGGGACTCTTCACCCTCTACCTTTTACCATCGTGGAGCCAATTTTGCGTGCCGAGCCCTTTAAGCCGACTGTTTGAGCTAACCGCCCTTAGTTTCAGGAAAAAGATCACTTTGGAACCGGGTAAATCTCTTTTTCTTTTTTTTTTTTTCTTTTTGGAAAACTGCGTTGGAAACCGATAAGCCCCAGTCCTGAGACAGTGCGCGCCATTTGATGTTATTTCTTCTTGTTGGGATAAACCTTGCACCGAAAAAGAAGGGTGCTGGCGAATACAAAGAAAAATTCGTTCCAAGGCGTTTTAACCTGCTTCTAAATTTTGCAATGATGCATATGGCCCTCAAGCTTCCTATTAAAACCTTTTTGTCCGGTGTCCTCGGCACAGATTTGGTAAAGTAGTGTTGAAGTTGCAGAGTTCTATTCATATCAAAACTTACATCGCCTCGAAAAGCATTACAGTAGAATCGGCACATACACATAAAGGCAAACTGCACATTATAACCGAATTCAAAATAACCAATGGATAAAAAAACAACTAGTGTGTTAGTGATAATGTGGTGATTGCGCAGGCGAGCTGGTGGATGTTAACCATTTTGTTCTTAGCCCGAGACTGAGGCAGGAAAAGAGGGAAGTTTCAAAATAGTAGAAAAATGAACAGTCGAAGACACGTCTCTCTCTGAATGAAACTTCTACTTTGAAACTTTCCTCTTTTCCTGCCTCAGTCTCGGGCTAAGAACAAAATGGTTAGTATGTTAGAATGAGAAGTATTACAAGATGGAAAAAGAACGTTTACATATACTCTTGGACTTTATCAAAAAACAGCTCAGACAAGTCTATTTCAACAGTGTCACTGGATGTCGTGTTCCACTCATTTATAGACCGCGGGAAAAATGAACATCTAAACACGCCAGTTCCACAGGACATGCAAATCATTCTTGAATCAACCATCCTATGTGACACATGGGTTCAAAAATATATTCATGTTTACAAATGCCAGGATTGTTATAGAAAATATGATGTTTAAGTTTCAAGTTCAAATTCAATTACATCATTATTACCCTTTGGTGGTTTGTTGTCCATGAATGTCCTAGATTTCCTGTGAGAAAATACACTAGAAGAGGCCTACAAAGAATTCGACACCATGATGACATGCCATTTTGGCTTTAGAACTACTCCAACCGATACTTTTCACCTATGCAATAGCAATGATGGGGTGAAGTAGAACTGGTACTGGGAAAGGTGGAAGCACAAGATGTGTGATGTGCTTGTCAGGTAATCTGAAAAACAAGTTAAAAATCGTTTTTGTTTGTTGTTATTTCAATGTTGCAGAAACCATGTGCTTGGGATTTCGTCAGGACTTCACGAGATGGGAGGCATGAGGCTAGAACTCGCACTCTACCTTTTTGTGTCATGGGCTGTTGTTTATGTCATCATTTGGAGGGGCCTCAACCAGAGTGGAAAAGTAAGTTCTCAGCAATAAGCCTAAGACGGTGTGCCTACAAAATGCATTAACTAACCGTGCCCTGTTAAAATAATAATAATAATAACTTTGGGGTACACATTTTACACAATAGATAGTTGAACAGTGCATGCAATTTTCCAGCTGATCGGCAGCCAAACCAGAATCAACTAAAGAAACTACTAGGTTTAGCACAATGTAGGCTCAGCAGTAGCTCACATGACTTTCTGGTCACGTTTAAAACTAACTAATATGAGCGAGTAACTATCCTTTCAAATAAACCCTGAGCACGCTTAAGCATGGAGTCAATTGTTGCACTTGAGAGTGTATCTCTACAACAGCAGACTAGATGCGATAGATCAAAAAGTCAGCTTTCGCATAGGCTGTGTGTGCCTGAGAAAACGAACACTCTTGTACCGTATATACTGAAATAGTGTGTTTATCATCCCACATACTTCATTTGCCTGGTCGCAATGGCCATCCCCAAGTTCTGAAACATTGCTTTATTGAAACCCTGAGAGTATACGTTTTCTGAAGTAGTCTTAAGTGTTTTGTATTGAATATTTTTTACTGTACTCTCACAAACAAAAACAAAAAGATAACGGTGTAAGTGGGAAAAACAAATAACAGATGTAGCTAACTAACATGACCTACGTATTTTTCTCCTTGCACAGATTGTCTGGGTGACTGCCATCTTTCCATACGTCTGCCTCTTCATCCTCCTTGTGAGGGGTGTCACGCTGGATGGATCGTTGGACGGCCTCTTGTTCTATGTGACCCCAGACTGGAGCCAGCTGCTCAAGCCAAAGGTAGTTAGACGGCTGCGGCCATCAATCACCGGTACAGCATTAGCAGGCAGCTGGCCGAGTCACTAACTGCCCACTCTTAGAGGGGCACTTAGCTCATTAACCAACTTTATAGAGGTACACCAGGCACTCCCAACTAAGTTCTAAATAAAACAGATAACGATTCGTCCGACCAATCGATTGAACAAAAAACGAACCGATTCACCAGTGGCATCAGATGTTTAGTGGAATAAAACGGAAACGGATGTACCTTTTCAGTCGCTTGTACTACCCTACACCAAATTCGATTCAAACATCCACAGTGCCTCTCTCTCTTTTCGAATATGAGCAGCAGGTTTGGTGTTTGATGTATGCTACTAGTTTCTTTCTGCATTATTTTATAGTCTCTGGAACTGCAGGATATTTTGGACGGTGCTAAATCTTTAGAGATAGAAACACCATTTCTTTTAGAAAAAAAACATCTTGAAATTGTGTTGAGCATCTCTTTAATGCAACTCCGACAGGTGTGGATTGCTGCGGGAACCCAGGTGTTCTACACTTTTGGGATTGGAGTTGGCTCTGTGGTCACATTAGGCAGTTACAACAAGTTTCACCAAAATTTCTTCAGGTAAAGCATTTTGCATATAACTTTACTTTGGATCACTCCAAATGTTGCATGGGGGTGAAATTTTTCGCTGGGCAGACTATACATTCTTTGCTAATTTGTTTCAGAGATTCAGCCATTGTGTGTTCCATAAACCCCTTGACAAGCATACTGTCAGGGACAGTGATCTTCTCCGTGCTCGGTCACATGGCATACTTGGCAGATAAATCGGTTGGCGATGTTGTCAAATCGGGTGAGTGAGCCGGGTTCAATTAAACTACCTATATGCAAGCTTTGTTTTATTGTTTCTTTTTGCGCGAATTTAAAAATATTATTCGTATTTACAGGACCAGGTTTAGCGTTTCTTGTATACCCTGAAGTCGTCACACGGATGCCTGCATCCACAGTGTGGTCAATACTCTTTTTCATGATGTTGCTCTGCTTGGGGATTAACAGTCAGGTTAGTCCTTAACTCTGGGCTCTTAGAGAAGACATGTAAAACCAGAGCCTCGATTTAATGCGAAACTCGTTTCACAGTTTTGCCCATCAGAAGCCATAGTTGCTGGCATAATTGACCAATGGCCTCACCTGATGAACCGGCGAAAACTCATCACATTTCTCATGGTTCTCTTCCAATTTCTGTTGGGGCTTCCTATGGTGACTCAGGTAGGTGCATTAAAAGTTTGATGTTACTCAAGAAACATAAGGGCTATATTTATTTTTTGAACGTTATTACCGCGAGCCTGGGATCGTTCTCGAGTTCCCCTTGCTGTCGAATTTGATGGGCTATGTTTACTACTTCTGCCACATGAAAGTAATTGTGTTGTGTATACGTTTATATAACCGAAAGTTCGTCAGCCCCATCCGGCATCTGGTGTCTCAGTTGTAGATGAGAAATTTATCTCGTGTAGTACAACCGCTACTCTGGGGTCTTTAACGTGCACCACGCATCAGTGATACACGACCGCACGCCGGTATAATGCTTATCCAGATCGAAATTGGCAGAGGTGGGAATTGAGCTCAGGAAGGATCCCTGGGCTCTGCAACCCGAGCTTTCGCTAGACGTGCTCCCAGCTGGAGTTCGCTAGCCCACTCGGACACCGATTCCCCTCTGCCACTTGAGATACCTATAAGTGTTCTAGAAGTAAATGGGCCCTCTGCTTTGGCACACTTTAGATGTTATAAAGTCATGCACTGGCGTTCTGCTTTAAACCCGAATGAATTAAACTTTACTCTCTACTTGGTTTCTTCGAACTTCTAATGAAATCGAAGTATAGGCGCGGTCCCGGAAAAAAGAAATATTTTCACGTTAGTTTGAAATTTATACGTTCAACTTGATCAATTATAAAGGGTTTTGTTTCATGTTCTAAATGCGCATGTTCGAATTAACTACTCGAAATTAAGTTACTTCGAGCACTGGCAAGCTAGTTAGAACCCTGGGAAGATGTAACTTGGCAGTTGCGCTCGTCCTTTGCCATTGTTGTCGACGCGGGCTTTACGTATTTATATCAGCCGGTAGTCTTGACACAACTTAAATTGTCCTCTTTGCAGTACGCGTTGATGCCGGCAAATAACATCTCCCTAGAAAAATGTTGGTATCGGGAACTCGCGCTTCCACTTCAAGACATGCTTTAAAAGCGCCCGGATCAGTGTCGGACCTTTAAAAACGACTTTATTGAACTCCCTAATGTCTCCTCGCGAGCAGTAAGGAGTATATACACCGTTTTACACATAGTGTGCAACGCTGTCAGAGCTACCGACTCCATCCCAAAGCTCTATCAAGCGTCTAAAGGCTGGTTGACACGTTTGCATCGGGTGCGTCCGCAGTAACCAAAACGACTGCAACGACGGGGACACTGCCATAACCATGACTCATGCTTGCTTTACAAAAGCTACTGTTTGCATCGCTTGCAACATGGCGTATGGTGAGCAGTTTTCCTGTGGAGTTTGTCATGGCTGTTGGTACGGTCATTCGGAACGCGAGCAACGCAACTGTCTGAACCAGACTTGATCTGCACGAGAAAAGGTACAAATTAAAGGCTTGCCAATGCCAAACGCTTCCGCGAGTAGCTTTGACAGCAGAGTATGCTGCGTATAAAACGGAGTAAAAACTTAGCAAAGATAAGGGTAGAGAGATCAGTACCTCTAACATGAAAGGAACCGTCGGCGATTGTTGAGAACGCTTGGCTTCGGCGATGTAGCACTCCGATACGCGGAGCACGCGTCACGTGACGTGTCCGAAAATTTAGACTGTTGATTTGACTATCTGAGCAAATATGCATTTACTTCCATCGCCAGTTATACAGGTTTGCATTTAGCACAGTGGTTCTGAGACGTTTAACGTATCTTTCCTCTTACTGTGCAGGGAGGCATGTACCTTCTACAGCTGATGGACAACTATGCCGTGACTGGGATCACATTGCTCTTTGTGGTGTTCTTCCAAGCAATTGCCCTGGCCTGGATATATGGCAAGCCTTGCTCCGTTTATGCGCTACTTTCTCAGTACACAGGTTACTGTAAATGACCTGATTTGATATGCAGTTCCTAAGGGTTTTGTAGATTTCACAGAAGACTAAAGGTAGAAAAATAATCCGTTTTACATTCTGTAAGATACTGAAACACTAGTAGTATTTTAAAGCCATTTCAGAGTGCATTTTCTGCAGTTATAATTTCTCATGAAAAGTTAAATTGAGAGCTCGGTTTTTACTATGGTCATGCCATAGCGGGACAGTGCGCTTAAATGTGGTAAATATTTTTTTCCCCTACAGGAACTAGCAACATCTCTGATAACATCAAGGAAATGCTTGGACGCCGGCCTAGCATTCTATTCCGAGTGAGCTGGTCCATAATTGTGCCTGCAATGTGTGTGGTATGTGGACCATCAAAGTTTCATCCTTTGTTTGCTTGTATGTTTACATACTGAACTACTTCTGACGATATTTTTCTAAAGTAAAAATAAATTATCAAGATACATACTATAATTGCAATACTAACTTTCAAATAAAAATATGATTAATAACGTTTTGAGCTTCAGGGATTTTATCCATACTTCAAACTTTCCATAACCGTCTTTGATGTCCAGTATAAACCACAAATATATAAGAGCTTAAAAGTCAACCGCAATACTTTTTTCTGGCTGTTTTCGATTTACTTTAGGAAATTCACAACAATTTCGGTTCATTTAATTTATCTCCCAAGCACCACATGGCCTACTGGCAGTAAGAGTGCAACTATAAGTATGAAGGTAACCAAAATCTCTGAGCTGTATGAGTACATACGTTATGAACTGCACATTAGCACTAAGATAAAGTATTTTCCCTTGATGTTATGAAGAGATTAAATAGAGCAGATAAGCTGAAGAAGCCACATGTCTCTTAGTGACCGGTCAACCAGCATTTGGGCCTGAGACTTTAAGGGAGGTCTCTTCTCTGAGTAGAAGGGAGGTAGAGTTTACTAGAATACAGTTGTGTGGAAAAAATGACTGGGAGGGTTCAAAACCTGAAATCTGCTTTGATACCTTGCGTACAATAACACCCCCACGCTGCCGGCCATGGCGCGATCCGAAGTGTACATATCCAAGGCAATCCGATTGTGCTGTTGGCAGCGTTGGCGAAGTGGGCAATGGAATGAGGCGATAGTGTAATTGCATCCCTTACTTGTTCCTCTTGTAGTACAACATCTCTTATGTAGCTTTCTACTTAAGCTGTAGAACATGGTATTATGTTTAAAATATACAAAACCTGAAAGTATAAAAACAGGGAGGACGAGGACGGGAAAGGGAGATCTTTCATGTCCTGTTCCCGTCCTCGTCCTCCCTGTTTTATACTTTCAAGTTTTGTATCTATTAACCAACACGCTCGTTTTCAATTGTATGTGTTTAATATAGTTCATTATTTTTCCAGAACTGCTTTCGGCTCTTACTTTAGTTGCACAACTAATAGTGACACTTTTAATCGTCTTTCAGGCAATATTCCTCTTTTCTGTGATCAAGTACCAACCCGTAGTGTATGCCAAGACGTATGCTTATCCGTGGTGGGGCGAGATGATGGGCTGGTTCATGGCCCTTGTTTCCATGGTCATGATCCCAGCCTACATGATCTACTTCCTTATTACGACGCCTGGCTCTCTACGACAGGTAAGAATGACACAAAATACAGTAGTCGTAGCAAAAACTATAGTCACGAATGATTCGAGAAGTAACAGGGTTGCTTTTGAATAAACATACTGCCGTTGGCATTCACAGTTAGAGTTCTGCAACTGGCCCCCTGGCTGGGTTTGATATAGTCAGGGTCATGGAAAGGACACGTGGTCTTTGCACTCACATCTGCAAGGGGGGGGGGGGGGGGGGGGCAGGTTACACCGGCCAGAGATGTTTCGAAAGACATCTTGAAATTCTGGAATCGAGGAAGAATTTGTATTTCCATTTATCCTCCTCAATGCAGGGAAGACTTCGCCGCGAGAACAATATATATTTGGCTACCGGAAAAGGGAAACAAGGAGCAAACGGCAGGCACGCACCCTAAAGCACCGACTGAATTCTATGTATACTAGTACTGCCAAGTTTGTACATTGATGGGATGCGCATGAACCGAAAATGGCGGAACATCGCCGGTGGCGCGTCGGCACCAGTCCCTTTAGACCAATAGAGTGCGTGCGCTTTCGCGTGCGGGATGCACGATGCGCAAATGGGCCGGAAATGGCGAAGCTTCGTTGGAATTTAATAGAATCGCCCGCGTAACGATCAAATGATGGCGGCACTTGTATCAGCCGGAATATCCAGCGCTTTAAAATATCCCCAATATTGGCGCCATGTCACGGGAGCGGCCATTCTCTGAAAATGTACTTGACTGTTGCCATACGTGTTTGGAAAAGTGATTCGGATAGTGGCCGCTAACGTTGCATAATGCTGATATCGAGGATTGTTGTCTTCCGTTTGATCCTCCTCTCTCTTAAACGGAAGTGCGGCCTTATGTCCGCTCCAGCCGCCTGGTAGGCATATCGGGGTTGGGCGACGAAAAAATAATAATAACAAAAAGTGAAAGAATAGAGGGAAAGCTAAACGAGAATGGTTTACGGTTACGCTCATATCCTAAATGTGTTCTGTGGGCGTGGCGACGGAAAAACTACGTTTTCGCCCGTACTGAATGTGATGACATTCACGATTGAGGCGCCCTTGTGGAAAAGGTCTATAGACCTTTTCCACGAGGTGTTGTCGTCGCCATCTTGAATTGTGGAGCAATAAAACGTTGGTTGGGGCTAGTGGATTTATACCGATTAAAAGGTTAAAAGGCGCGGACGAACAGGACGAAAAAAGACACACGTACGACCACGGACAGGCGCCAACTTCCAACTGATTTATTGGAACACGAATAATCGTCAAACTCGATCCAAATCGCCTAAACACATGCAACTGATAAACATTCTTATCGCTCTTTACACACATCCTTTAAGAAACACAATTTTTTGGTTAACAGATAAAGAAATGGCATGCTTACGCATCTGTCAGCCGCTTTGTGTATACAAAAAGCTTCGATTAGTTCTCTTTCCATTTTTTCATTCCCTTTCTTGATAAACCTTGTGCGCTCAAACAAAGGTTCGCACCCACATCGTTTGCAGTGCTCCGCAAGATGCCCATCCGAATTATTGCGTACGGCAAGCTTGTGTTCGCGAGCTCTTTCATTAAAGCATCGGCCGGTCTGACCGTTGTAAACTTGGCCGCAACTAAAAGGAATCTCATAAACCGCCTTAGTCACGCATTTGGTGTGTCTTGTTACATGTTTTTTTGAGCACACTACAAACGTTCGTTTTGTCATCGCGGAGCATATCTTTGAAAGTTTGCACGGGGCTGAGAAGACTACGTTAGCTTTTTGTCTAACAGTCATCTTTTTTTTTAAATTGTGGGACACTTTGTGCAAATGTGGTATCACCTGCGCTGGCATCTTGTCTGTCTTTTCACGGCTTTTGTGTTTCTTAAAGGATGTGTGGAATGAGCGATAAGAATTTTTGATCAGTTGCTTGTGTTTAGGCGATTGGGATCGAGTTTGTCGATGCTTCGTGTTCCAATAAATCAGTTGGAAGTTGGCGCCTATCCGTGTCGTACGTGTGTCTTTTTTCGTCCTGTTTGTTCGCGCCTTTTAACATTTTAATTGAATTGTGGAACTTCCGGTATGAGAGAAAACATATGTTTTGCTTTCGCAACACATCTAGGTGTTCACGATGTTATCGCGACTGTCAATCCTTTTTGTTTTTCCTCTTCTACATTATTTTACTCGATCCAGGTTGTAATGCCTTGTTGTTTTTTTCGTCGCTCATCCCGGATGTGTGAACTATATACGTGGCTGGGGACGAGAGAAAATAGAAAAGGTACATACGGGAGGCTATGAAAGTATATATAAAGCTTTTAAAATATATTTTTTTAATATTTTTTTAATTATCAACGTTTTTATCGCTGTCTTTTCTTCTTGTGGGCGCTTCGTCTATTAATTGTTTTTAGTTTCTACTTGCCATATCATATCTGCATTAAAAAAAGCAAAAGCAGTTTCCGAGATCGTGATGTTAATACATTTGGTCGTGTTTGTAATTTTAGTTTACTTATAGGGCTCACTACAGGAATTAGATACACTATTTTGTTGCCAGAGCATAAATTGGGCAGAATGAGATTGTGCAAATGTTTTAGTCAGGTCAACAAGGGCTTAGCTTTGCCCAGGCTTCTGTAAAATAGTGCCAGGCTGGATCAGTTCTAATAAATTGACAGCAGACCGGCAGCTGTGTGCACGGTGTCCCCCAAAATATTTACAATGTTTTTATCACCGCACAAATAAACGATGCATCGCCGAACGCTGATTCTCCAACGGAATGTAGCGCTAGACGTCCGAACCAGGTGCCAAAGTTTCAGCACTAACTGATATTCAAAAGTTATATCTGATTTTCTTAAATTTTCAATCGGAAAATGGCGGCCGACCGAGCTCTCTAATTCATGGAGCTGTATCGCGCCAGTTACATGAAAACGGGCAAAAATGGGCCCCATTTTTTCATCGAAAGTTTCAGAAAATCCGATAACTTTGGAATAACATAACTGTTAATGCTGAAACTTTGGCATCTGGTTCGCACCTCTTGCGCTACATTTGAGTGGATAATGAGCATTCGGTGATGCGTAGTTTATTTTTGCGGTGAAAAGGAACCTTGTAAATTTTTCGGGTGGACACCCTGTAGATCCATTAAAACGAATTTTTCTTTTTATCCAGCTTTATCCGCCATACCTGTGGCTTGGGCCACAACTATGGCGGATAAAGGTGGTCGAAGTTTTTGAGTTTTGGCCCAGACACTATCCCATGGGAAGCACTGAAAACAACGCTGAAAACCGGAACCCTACACTGAGCACTACAACTGAGACTCCAGCATTGCAAACCACTCAATTACGGAAACTGTGCAAAATTGCAGTTATCATTCGTAAATATCGTCCGCATTTATCCGAGTTTACCGATTTTATTCTTCTGAAAGGCACACAAAATATATCGAATCAATGAACGGCGTTGATTTATGGGCCCGAACTTTAACACTACAAGCTTAGGAAGCGTTTCACTACAATGCTGACCTTTTCCCGATTATGAGGGAGTTCATGTCAGTTCTTCCTTTTCAACATCTACAAATCTGAATAATCTCCGTCTCATTCGTGAAACATTGTTAGCATTGTGCAACGTTCGGTTGCATAAACGAAAACCAGTGGTTGTTCACCATATAAGTATGCAGCTTCACAACAAAATGTTCAAGTGAAATTGGTGAGGTTCCGGGCAGTATCTGTTTTTTGCAGAATACTTTTTTAAAGAGAACTTTTCGAAGTGAAACTACCTTGGCAAATGTAACTTTGGAAAATGTTAGTTTGATTTATGATAAATAGAAGAAAATACTGATATATGCAACCCTTTCAGTTAGAAAGAGGTTACAATGAATGCTTGTTTTTTCTCAAGTGGTATGCGTATATATGCTTCATAAATTTTGACAGGCTTTAGTAAATAACGACTTCATAAAGACCGAGTGAAGCTTCGCCATACAAAACGTTTATCCCTCCCCCTTTCTTCTTTCAGAGGTTCATAGCTGGCGTCACATCTCAGCTGTCGACTCATACTGCAAAAGAAGAAAAGGAGTACACCTTCAGCAACACCGCCCTGCAAGCCTAGGCCTGGGCGCACTCATCACTCACCTCGACACTTATTACAGCCTGCATTGTACCTATGCATCTAGTAGTTCATGTATAATATTGTATCTATTTTTTTAAACAAATATACAAAAACGGATTATAAATCACCCCTAAATTATGCTTGTACGTGTAAGAGTGGCATTTTATAAAGCCATTGTTAAAAACAAACTGCCTTGTCTTGTTTTCTTTGGTTTGTAAACCGGCCTGTCCAAGCTTGCATATCGCTGGAACCTGAGTCGACATTCTAGGAAGAAAAGCTGAGATTATGGCGTCCCGTGCTTTCACGAGGACACCCGTCTATAGTCAGTTACAGGTTAAGAAAAGTTTTTGAGGGAAAGGAAGGTTGGGAAGGAGGAAGCAGACTAAACGCTGCAGAGAGGAGATTTCCTCCCCTTTTCTCCAGGAATTCGTCTGCTTCCTCCTCCGCAACTTTCCTTTCCCTCGAAACCTTTTCCGTCTAACCTCGACCCAGCGCGTAACGTGCGTAGCCTCGACTCGGCGACTCGGCGCACAGCGGGAATAGTTCTTCCGGTTCTAACACTTCCGGTATGCGGGAGCAGGCCTAGCCGGCTGACAAGGTGCTGAAGTGGTGCGCGTTAAATGGGTTTTGAAGCCCTTGACAGCGAAGTGAGTTGTAATAAGGTGGGTTAATACGTCGATGTATCATGTCCGCGCATATTTGGTCATCGGGCTACCACTGCGCAGTCGTTGGCTGCAGCAGCGATTTCCGAAAACGGAAGATAGCGCGCGACAAATTGTGCACCGAACACAAGAAGTCGCAAAGCGAATGCGGCTGTACCGTATGCACTTTGCATCGCTTCCCCGCTGATATCAGCGGGGAAGCGATGCAATATCAGCACATAAAAAAAGCAAATAGGCAGAATAGAAATGGACATCTACAAGTGCAGTAATAGGCCTCGACAAGTCAAATGTAGAACGAATTTTGCAGCTTGTGGTGCAAATGTAAGACCCTGGGTAATGATTGTTATTGGCTACTCAAGTTTTGTTTTTCATTCCGTTCATTCCTACGAGGATGTGCACTATAATTTTGTGTGTTGCTCGGTAGCGACGCCCGTTAAAATACGTTAATGGCAACAATACGAAAGGAGGGCGACGACGATCTTGCGCCCTCCTTTCGTATTGTTGCCATTAACGTATTCTAACGGGCGTCGCTAGCGAGCAACACACAAAATTATAGTGCACATCCTCGTAGGAATGAATGGAATGAAAAACAAAACTTGAGTAGCCAATAACAATCATTACCCAGGGTCTTACATTTGCACCACAAGCTGCAAAATTCGTTCTACATTTGACTTGTCGAGGCCTATTACTGCACTTGTAGATGTCCATTTCTATTCTGCCTACTTGCTTTTTTCGCCCCCATCTCCTGAATAGTTCCGACGCATCTGGGCGTCATACGAAGTAGAGATGTCCCGGTAACTAGTGATGGGACGAATCTTTATCCGAACCGAGATTCGGAGCCAAATCGGAAGATTCGGAAGCAAGGAGGATAGAAGCGTAGGAGAGGGCATGACGCCAGCCGTGTAGCCTCCACAAGCCATGCTCCCTTGACGCCTCGCCTCTTTCTCATTTTCCTCCTTACTCTCCTCACTTACCACGCCAACGTGACCACATCACGTGACCGTAGCTAGCCTTCGTCTAGCTATGGCGTACTAGAATACACCACAGTCTGGCCTTCGATCTGATAAAACCTACCGCACGGAGCGCGCGCAAGCCTACAATGAGTCCTTCTACAATCAACCATCCATCTCACACGTGACATGTCACGCGCACCAATCGCCAGTCAGATCTGTGGTCACGTTGGCCACAACATCGTTTAAACGTTTTATGACTAGGCTTCACCAATATTGCAACGTGCCCTCTGCTAGTACTTCTTACCTCCTTGTTCGGAAGAGTAGCCGAATCTCATGCGATTCGGAAAAGTTCGGAAAGATTCGGAGCGTTGCCATGGTTGGCAGATTACGTTGATGAGAGTTTCAACTTTTTGTGATATTAAATTCACTAAATTCTACAAAGTGCACAAAATAATATTGTAATATAATATCATAGAAATAAATAAAATGTTCCGCTTTGTTTATATTATTTTGGATGCTTCGAGAACGGTAGCCAGATATCGCGGGAAAATTGGTTTCGCTTCCGGGTTACGACCAAAATAGACATGCTTGGTGCACGCGGAAATGCAAGCGCATGTTTCCATTGCCGCAAGTGATCGACGCCGTACGTGCCGTTTGGTAAAGACACATTTCGTGCCCATAATTACGGTCATAATGGCGCCCATCACACAAGTGAGTATGTTTGATACGATTATCTTCAACGTGATTCCACTGAGGTGCTGTTATCGGAACATGAGAAACAATCTGAAACTCCTTGCGTACTGCATTTGTACCTTTCTGGTTAATGATATCCGATTTTGTTAGTGTTGGACACTGGACACCCCTGTGTTGTGTTTCTTTTTCACCAAATAAAGTTCACGTACACAAAACTTGCTGCCGAGAACGAAGAAACGACAATGCGTTTTTCGTCGCAACCGGTGCCGGGTCGAAGTTGTGACAAGCAACATTCATCTCGCTCGCGCGCCTTACAGGTACAGAAATACGCAGCTCTAGAGAAGGAGACGAATCATTTCTTTGTCTTAATATATTTATTGTCCGTTGCGCCACATTATTTATAATACATAACATTTCATTTTACCGATTATCGCGAAACCGCACAGAAACCGAGACCGTGCATTGGTTAGGCCTACGGCGACAACACCGGTCAGCTCAGCTGGACCTGGGCGCGTGCCAGGGTTTAGAATCACAGTACAGTACTTACCATACGTTGAAATGAACAAGACCAAATCTGGTTATATGCAGTAACAGTACCTAAAAAGACCACAACTGACCGCATTCGAAAGGTTTACGACAAGGTTCACGCTGCCGTCTGCAACGAGCGACGAATCTGACGAATCTCCGAATCTGCCGAATCTCCGAATCTGCCGAATGTTCGTCGCGGGAAGTTCGGAAATTTACAAATCTGTCCGAATCCGAATCTCCTGTGATTCGCCCCATCACTACCGGTAACTAGAGATCGTACATCGACGGTGCACCATAACAATAAACCGTTCGGCCCGCGTCGCCAACTCCCAATGTGAGTATTTCTACGATTAAACGATGATACTTCTATGCCCAGGGTCGCCCTCGCTCGCGCATAGAAACCCTCCGTTAGTCATTCGCAGAAAGTTGTCATTCTTCACAAACAACAACACGCGAAGAGTAAGCACTGGTAAACGTGCTCAGGAAAAGTGAACATACCTCCGATTTCGATTACCGGCGACGCTGGCGACGAACCTCTCGGCGCTGTTGACGCAACAACGGGCGCCATGAAGGCGAATAAACACGCCAGAACACAAGAATAATTCACACTTTTAATAACAAAGAAATTAAGAACTCACTAAAGGGAAAACAATGAAGACACGATGCACGGGGTCAATGGGGACACCGCGGGAGCTAGGAATAACGCTGCTCTCCGCATACCAAAATGGGCGCACAACAACCGTACGCCAGACGGCGCGGCTGTCGCTGCAACACGCAAAGATGGCGACGACTACGCGGAAAAGGTGTATAGCCCGTTTCAACTCAAGAAGGTAGAGCGAGGGAAAAGGAGATTTCCTCCTCTCCTCTCCAGCGTTCCGTCTGCTTCCTTCTCCCCGGGCTTTCTTTCCGTCGCCCTACCTTCTTGAGTTGCAACGGACTATATACACCTTTTCCGCGTAGTCGTCGCCATCTTGCGTGTTGCAGCGACAGCTGCGCCGTCTGGCGTACGGTTGTTGTGCGCCCATTTTGGTATGCGGAGAGAGCAGCGTTGTTCCCAGCTCCCGCGTTGTCCCCATTCGCCCCGTGCATCGTATCTTCATTGTTTTCTCTTTAGTGAGTTCTTAATTTGTTTGTTAATGAAAGTGTCAATTATTCTTTTGTTCTGGCGTGTTTATTCGCCTTCATGGCGCCCAACATAGCGCCAACAGCGCCGAGAGGTTCGTCGCCAACGTCGCCGGTAATAGAAATCGGAGGCATGTTCACTTTTCCTGAGGACGTTTACCAGCGTTTACTCTTCACGTGTTGTTGTTTGTGAAGAATGACAGCCTTCTGCGAATGACCAACGGAGGGTTCCTATGCGCGAGCGGGGGCGACCCTGGGCATAGAAGTATCATCGTTTAATCGTAAAAATACTCACAGTGGGAGTTGGCGACAAGGGCCGAACGGTTTATTGTTATGGTGCACTGTCGAGGTACGATCGCTGGTTACCGGGATATTTCTCCTTCGTATGACGGCCAGATGCGTCGGAACTATTCAGGAGATGGGGGTGAAAGGGGGGGGGGGGGGGGGGGGGGGGAGGACGACGACGATTTTGCGCCTTCTTTTCGTATTGTTTCATTAACGTATTTTAACGGGCGTCGCTACCGAGCAACACACAAAATTATAGTGCACATCCTCGTAGGAATAAACGGAATGAAAAACAAAACTTGAGTAGGCAATAACAATCATTACACCCAGGGTCTTACATTTGCACCACATCCTGCAAACTTCGTTCTACATTTGACTTGTCGAGGCCTATTACTGCACTTGTAGATGTCCGTTTCTATACAGCCTATTTGCTTTTTTTATGTGCTGATATTAGAGTTTTAGTATAGCGTTGCTGGATCTTACGTACGCAATACGCATTAGTATAGCGTACGCTAAAAATGACCTGCTCGGACCGAATTTAGTTGTGCGTTACGTTTTCAAGTGAACACCGCGCATGATCTTGGTTAAATTTGCTAGAGCCGTAGAATTCCGCGTGCTTATAGTGCAACCATGCTCCTGGAAAGAAACATTGAAAAAGAAAAAGTGTCCAATCATTTTATTTCAGATTAAGCCAAGCCACAGCTGCCTCGTCAAGCGCGCTTTTCTGCGGGGTACAGAGGCTACGAGTACGAGTGCGTAACCAAATTCGATCAAGGAGCCTCCGTCAGTCATCCCGTGGAAACGGCACCTTTTATCAATGCTATCGCGGAAAGAAATTCATGACCCTGAAGTCCAGTGCATAGCGAGAACTTTGGTGATTTCTTTTAGAGTCGTTCGTCCGTCGGCGATGAACTGCGCGAATAGGCTTAGCGTGGAGCAGATCGC